GCCGACAGACCAGCAGCCGTCCTTACCTGGATGCAACATACTTTGGAAATAGAAGATGACGAGGGCGAAGGATCCCAAGCAAGTGACCAAAACCATCCGACAAATCCGATTGATCCTCATCACTTCCAGCAGCGCCGGCTTCATGGCTTTGTCCCGGCGAGAATAGGTAGGTGGCGGGGAGGAGGGCGGGAGGAGGCGACCCTCGCCCCGCGGGCTCTTTCCCAAGAGTTGCGTGACGGAGGAGCCGGAGCGCAGGAGCGCAGGGGCAGCGAGCGCCTGGGCGACCGGCCGGCTATTCGGGGAGCGGGCTGGCGCGATGCTGGCGGCGGCGAGCGCTGCTTCCTCCTTCCGCGGCTGCTTTGGAGGATGTCTTGGGCAGCGGCTCGCGAGCGCTGCTTCATTTGGCTGGGAGCTAGTCCTAGCTTGGGGGCTACCACTTGACTTACGATGGAGGGGGAGGCCGCAGAGAAGTCTGTGTAACCCGCGGAAGGCCAGCAGAACCTCCGAGAAGGTCGCCTTGGAACACCATTCGACTCACCCTGCTGGTGAATATGGTCGCGTCCGACTGCTTCCCCAGCCGTCTCGCCGCTTTCTTCGCGGTCCTAAAGTGTCCCGAGTCGACTCGGATGGATGCAGTGCGCAGGCTGAGATGGGTTCATGGTCTCCGATGGCGAGGAGGATCTCCTTCCTATCCCGTCTGGCCAGGTGAAGCGATCTTTGTCTGGGGTTTCCATGCCCGCCTTTCCAAGGTACTGGGGGCTTTTGCTGCTTGGACCCTCCCCCTGATGATGAATTCCGGAGGATTGAAAATCTTGCTCATTTTTCCTAGTATTTTGGCTGGTAGTAATGTAAATACGGTGACCATATTTTCTTGAAAAAAAAAAATAAAGGACAAGCCTGAAAAGGCTTGAAAGCTGAAAGAGGTTCATAAGGATAAAAAAATTAATTGTTTATGTTTATAACTTTGCTTTACAAAGGAAAATTCAAGAGCAAAATCAAGAAAAACTTTACAAAAACACATTCTAATATAATTATCTAAAATCAAACAATATATATATATATATATATTAAAAAGACCATTCAATTGCCATATTCTTCACACGAATGTAAAAGACTGTGCGTTACGTCATACCATTTGGGCGGTAAAAGTTAAATGTCCAACATAAAGGACAAAAGTGAGTTTTTGAAACATACATAAATCTAAAGCACAACTTTCTGAAATAAAGAACTGTCCTTTATAATAAAGGACACATAGTTACTGTAAATATAGCTATTAGCCAACTGTGGATTTTCTTTTCTGTTTCATGGTCCAGTACAGCTATTTATGTATGTATGAATTTTAAATTGAAGGAGGGGTCTATTCAGAGGATAAAATGTGGATGTGGAGAATAGCATATAGCACCTTTGAGATTCTTGGAACAATGGCGAGTTATATAGTACTGTTACAGAAAATAAAAGAAAATGCTTATCTAAAATGCATTTTAAGACACTCTGGGGAGCTAGAGTGGCCAAACTATGATCACACGTAGAAAAAAAGAAAAAATGATTATCTTGTATTTAACTAATTTCAATCTTTGTTTTAAAATTTTTGTTCTGGATGTTGTAAACTGCCTTGAATGCTTACATAGGTGGGATGGCAGGGTTTAAATAAATAAATAAACATTACCCAATGTCCTTTGTGCAGTCTTGGAAGCTAGACATTATTTCATTAGAAATAAACATGATATCCCCCAAAATGGTATTGGTATAAAAGCTACTTAACAGAAAATATCAATGGGGGAAGGAGGAAAAGAAGGATGAGTTCAGCACAGGACGTCTGAATTTCTACAGAGCAATTTCTGATTTTGAGATAGGAAATACATGAAAGCTGTATGCTAAGACCTAAAATAGATTTAACACTTTTTTTTAAAGAAACCCATAGCCTCCAATTTAAATCCCCAAACTAAACAAGAATCTGGAAAATCTGGATACTACCTCTATGAGAGATACAACTCCATCACCTTTGCATTATCAATTCCCCAGTACAGCCCTTATGCCTGTAAAAGAATCAGTAACCTGTTTCTCTCCAAACCCCAGAAGATTAAGAGGCTGTGAAACTGCAGTTCTCCATGCAAAAGAGCTCATAGTGACAGGCTACCTTGTCGTCTACAGATCCTGTCTAGATATCTTCAGATCACTGATTAATTCTTTCTTTGTTACTGGATGACATGCCTAAAAAAAAATCCTTTAAAGGCTCATCTTCTGTCAACAACATACTTTGAAAATTTATTCCAAAGACACAAGACACAACATGTTTATAGCCAGACAGGAACGAACACAGAATAATCACAACTTCTTGATGCTATATCATGATGGATACTTGAAAAAAAAAAACACAGGCAACTTGGTTTTTTGATACCCTAAAATCCTTAGAGAGCTTTTGATGCTACACACTCCAACCTGTGAAAGTAACTGATGCAATGTACTGAATAGACTATATGCATCCTTTTGCAATGTGCAATACTGCTTTCAGCTGTAAAACAACCTCTGCTGCAAAGATTATGAAGTACAAAGGAAAGTAGGAGAATTTCTCCGTAACGCTCATTTCAATAGCACTCATTTATGACTAGCTTGATATGAAAAGCATATTAAGATATCAGATCTACATGACTCAGGAGTGTCCAAACAAATCAAAACAGACACGCATGTATTCATACACATACAGTACAAGGGCCCAGAATGATGATGATCTTCTTTCTTCTCCTTCTTCTCCTCCTCCTATTTCTCTTTTTTCTAATCACATAGGACTCTTTTGCCCCCTTTCCCCAGTGCTATTTGCCAGTCCAAGACACTTTTTACAGTTTGATGTGGTTAGAACAAAACAAGTTGAAATATGGTTTCCTTTTTACTACTGTTTCAACTCTGCCAGCTCTAACTTGCTTGCAATTAATTGAGTTTGCTTTAATAGCAGGGTACCCTATGGACAAATTCTTTCTTCAAGCCAGGAGGCTGTTCCAGTAGAAAGGCATGTTCACTGTTGTCCCCACAATTTCCTGTATTTTACTTGCCAAAAGTTACCATTCCCATCCCCTGGTATGACATAACCGTAGTCCCCTGTCCTGTATTCCTTTATCTCCTACTAATATCAAATTGATAAGGGTACAATCTGAGGCTACCGAGCATTAGGAGGCTCTCAAAAGTCATGAAATGAAATTAATTTCATTTCATTATTATTCAGTTTAAGATGAAATCAGAATTAGTTTTGCCCTAGCCCTGCCTGGTTTTTAGAGCATGTGGTTTTCCAAAGGCCAAGTGTGCTCTCAGCCTAGAGGTACAGACCTCTGACCTAATGATACAAAATGTGTGGCATGCTATAACCAGCAAGTTCCTTGTCAGTGAAATAGCTGTTCCCAATGTGAGATGGGGTCAGAGGTTCTTAAGAAGATGAAATATGGGTGATGGAAATGTTTGTAATTCTCCTTAGGATCTCACGTGTGCATTATCCACTTCTCAAGTTCACTTTTCTTTTCTGAATCCAGCTGTTTTCCTTTTAGCCATTTGTCTTTTTTAATTCTGTGGCTTTTGTGTGTTTTGCTCAAAAAAGTAAAACAAACAAACAAACAAAAAATCCCACCAAATATTTCTAAAGTCTGATTAAGTCAAGCAGAGGGGCTACCCTGCCACTCCAGAGCTACACATTTCCCTGACTCCTTTTTGCAGCCTTCAGTCAGCCAGATATTTAGACTGGATTTGGCATTTTTATCCACCTATTGAGTCCTTTCCAAGGCCTGGGATAGGCAGATGTTGTTTGATGGTGTGAAAGGTATTGTCGCAAGATATAAGCTGTTCCAAGTAAAGCTACCTTTTGCAATTGACTGATGGTGATTTTGTCAATGCTGATGGTGTTCAAGTAATGCTCCAGATGTTTTGGGACTGCACCTATGGCACCTATAACTACTACTACTACTACTACTACTTCTTCTTCTTCTTCTTC